CCTGTTTTGTATCGTTCTTAAATACTTTATCAAGAATGAAGGAATTATTTCCAATGGCTTGATCATCAGTTGATACCTTAACAGTATGGTCTCCGTCAAAATCGTATGTTAATTTGTATGAAGTTTTCTCTTGTTTTTCCTTAGTTGTTATTGGTCTAAAACGAGCAACAACTCTAACGTTTTGCACTTGCCTCAAATTTGCAGACATCCTTCCGATTAGCCTTTGATACAGTACTAAAATCCTCAATGCAACAAAATCCTCTGTAAATTTTTCGAATGATTTTTTTTAAAGCTGCTGCCCTCAATCTCCTTGATAGGAAATTAATCTTACTGAACAGAGAACGTGGTTTCCAAGCCCACATACAATATACTGCCATATACCTGAATACTACAATCCAAAAGAAGAGAGCATAAAAGTAGAATGAAATTGCTTCAATTTCATATCCATTCACCTTAAGAGCTGATGCAATGTCGTTATCTTCTCTTCTTGTAATAAGTTCTTCCATATAAATTAAACCTCTAATATATCTAAAATAGGTGATAACGTGACTGTAGGCAAGAACTGGAGAAAGCTTTTCAATTTCAGGAATGGTTGGATTATTTCCTCCAAAACTGTAAAATACTACAACTACTAAGGCAGCTGCCAATTGAGCTATTTGTGGATCAAAGAAGAATGACAATGTATAACCAATTGGAAAACCAGCCATAATTGTTAGAAATACAATGGCATAGAGAATGAAAAAGTTAGTATGTGGTAATGCAGATAACATGCCAAATGTAGTACTGAAAGAAATGACAGCAATCACAAAAATTGAAATCAAATCCTTCGATAAAAAGTACATCCAAGAATTGAGACCTACATGAGATTCTCTTTTGAAATTCTCAATTTCAAATCCAAAAACTCTCAAACCTCTCATTATAGATATCAATGCAATGGCCAAAACGAGGAAAGATGAGTATGGAGCAATCGTATCCGATTGAGGAAGCATGCAACCAGCTCTGATTTCTATTGGACATTTGCTATATTTTGAACTTGAAACACTTCCAATAAATTCAAGACCATTAAATAATACTCCAATAAGCAAACCAACAACAAAGGAAATGAGAATTTCAAATATCAAATTTCTCCAATCTCTGTAGAATTGTTTGACAGCTCTCACAAAACATGCATAGAAATGAATGTAAA